GTGAGTCTACATGCTTGGATTTAGTAGCAGATTTTGAAAGGTCTACTTTCTCAAATATTAAAGGTGCTAAACTAGTTCTTCGATTAACATTTTCATGGTATCTATATACTATTAATTTTAGGTCTCTGTATTCTCCTTATAACTATATGAGTGTAGGCAAGAAAGAATTGGTTTTTATTTGGGTTTTTATCTCATCTGACAATCTTTGTCTTTTAATTAAAACATTTGTCTATTTCTCTTTGTATCATTTGCTGATGCTTTGGGGGTTGATTGAGCACCTTGCCATTAGATTTTTTTTATCCTTCTTGTTCTCCATTCCCCTTTTCTTTTATCTCTACTTTCTTTTTACTATGTGCTTTCCTTCCTTCTGTTCATTGACTAGTTATGTTTTTTTAAATGTGCTAGTCTTTAATGACTATTATTCTATTATGCCACTATTGTCAGGAAATCACAGAATCCATTCCCATAAAGCTCAGATACACCCTAAGAATCTTCTACACTGCCTTCCAAAATTATCTTACCAGTTATTCAGATTTTTGGAGGAAAATAAAAGTCATTTTCCATCTGTGGTCATAAGCAGTGAGCCAATAGTGTTTCTTAACTTTCTCATTAGCAGAATCACCTGGAGTGTTTGTTAACTTTGTATATTTTGGTGTTCCACTCCAAACCTTATGAGTCAGTGTCCTCAGTAGAGTTCACCAAGAATCAGCATTTCCCTTAAAAATCCTAGATGAATCCCATTATGATAAAGTAAAATTTGTGGGAGCCTTAGCAGTATTAGCTCCTAAAAGAGGTTGCTGAATGACTTAAGACACTCACAGACAATTACATCATTGTAACTTTGTGGTGTAAACTGCACTGTTTGTGAACTGAAATACCATCATAATTCAATAATATTACCTGGGCAAAACAAATGATTCTGAACTTGTGCCACTATACTAGACTTCTCTGATGATAAACTAGTTTCCATGGAGATAAAATTTATATAAGCTCAATGTAAAAAGGCAATGTATGAGAAATGGTGTGTTTGTGTGCGTATGTGCATGCATGAGTTTCTCCCTCCCACTGGTGTGTGTGTGTGTGTGTGTGTGTGTGTGTGTGTGTGTGTGTGCCTAGGCTAGACAGATAAAATGTTCCTAAAATGGAGCTAGGCATAAGCGACAGGTCAGCCAACAGTATATGTTTTTGGAGTACTTTTAAAAACCTTTGGTAAATTCAGCCAGTAGCTCATACACATACAAACTTCTCAAAGTAAACAGCATCTAATAATGCTTCAGCTTTGTATCTAGGTATTTGTAAGGAGTAAGATCGACATACTTTTAAAAACTCTATCATAATATCATATGAGTCAGTGTTTTTTTTTACCTTTGCCAGCAGATTTATGGGGTCTTGGGGAGGGGCAGATTTTGAAAAATAGCTCATGTAGTCTACATTAAATTTTGACTTGGTTTTTTAGTGGTATTGTCATAGAAGGTAACACTCTCTAAATAGACAGACTCTATGTCTCTATATCTACAGAAATGTTCCTCTTCTAGTAACAATGCTTCAGATTCTTCATGGAGCTGGGATGTAAACCAGGGCTTGCTTTCCAAGCACATCCATACACTCAATAGCTTGGGAATTGAAAAGATGCTGAGTCCCATCCCGAAAAAGGAAATTAATTGATGGTGAGGTACAGTCAAGGTCTGGGAATTTTGTACAGTGTCTAGGTAATTCTAATGTGCAGGCAAGTTTGGAACTTACTAAATTGGAGATAATTGAACTACAAAGTGGAAATACAAACATCTAAGTAAGGTAAAACTGTGCTAAAGTCAAGACAATGAGATCAGCCTAATTGAATCTACCAACATGCAGTGTGCACACATAAGGCACAGAAGAGATAAAGCAATTAATACTTAGGCTGTGGGTCAAGACCCCTTTGGGGATAGAATTACATTTTCACATACGTTACATATCAGATATCTTGTGTATCAGATATTTACATTATGATTCATAATAGTAGAAAAATTAAAATTATGAAGTAGCAATGAAATAATTTTTTGGTTGGGGGTCACCACAGCATGAAGAACTGTATTAAAAGATCACAGCATGACAAATGTTGAGAACCAGTAACATGAAGGTAGATCAAATGATGAAAAACATCAAATCAGTTACGTACACACACAGTAACATACATGCAAATTATCAATATCCAACAAGGATTTAAAAATTACTGTCAGTTTGAAATTATATGCCCAATTAGAGATGTTAGATAAATATCAGAGAGCCCAGGAAGATTTGGATTTCAGATAAACAACAAATAATTTCAGTATAATTATATGCTATGCATTATTTGGGATATATTTATATTAAAATATATTTACCTGGCAATCAAGTTAGCTGCATGACTTTGTGACTTGTAATTATATCTACTAAGCATGCTAACATTACCCACCATTTTAAAGGACTAATTTGTTAGGACAAAAATTAAGTTCATTTTCTTGTCAAACTCTCACTATTTGCAGATGATATGATAGTCTACATAAGTGACCCGAAAAACTCAACCAGGGAACTCCTACAGCTGATAAACACCTTCAGCAAAGTGACAGGATACAAGATTAACTCAAAAAAATCTGTAGCCCTACTATATACGGATGATACATTGGTGGAGAAAGAAAGCAGAGAAGAATCACCCTTTACAATTGCCACAAACAACATAAATACCTTGGAGTAACACCTAACCAAAAAAGTGAAAGACCTGTA